CTCTACTGTAGAGAGCCTGATCTTTCCTGTTAGGTGATTAGCACTCAAATAACAGCAAGATTCTTTAGTTTGGGGAGGTAGAGCAAATGTGAAACTGGTTTCATTTGTGAGAAGGGCAAAAAAAAAAAAAAAAAATACAGAATTGCACAGCATTCATGCTTCCCAGCTGAGTTGGCTGCAGCCTCAGTTACCTGTTAACATAACAGCTATTTTCGCCATCTGAAAATACACAAAGCCAGCTTCTCCTGGCAGAGTCCCCTACCACCATCATAGGGAATGAAAATATGGTTCTAATCCAATTAGGAAACAAAGGGTACTTGCAAGAAAAAATTTCAATTCAATTTAATGCAGCAAATATTCGTTGGCTTAAAATCATGTACCTACAAGAAATGCTGTTCTTTGACAGAGAAGCACAAGATTCCAAACTGGCCACAACTATATTATTGGAGATAATTGTGACAAAAGTAACTACCATAAAAATTAAAGCAGGAAAGGAACTTGAAGAAAGTTCATTTACGTAGTTCTTAGTGGAGTGCCTTGCAAAAAGTAATCTCACCATAAAAACACTGATGAATGGCTGAATCCAATTCAATCCCCCATTTTACAAATCAAAAAAACTAAAGTCAGAAGGAAGAAGTAATTTACTCAATGATATAAAGTTAGCCAAAGGAAGAGAACAAGAGACCAGAATTTCTGAGTCCCTACCTATTATTATTATTAACATGCTCTTCTTTATAGTAAGTCATTTCCACTGTTGATTGATCAGCTATAAACCATATTTATCTTCATCCCTGTAACTATGTGACCTCTTGCCCACAATGTACAGCAACTCCATTAAATTAGCCTTCACTACTCAAATCCATAACCTTATACCTCTTCACTGAATCTTCACAGTGCTTACTGGCTGTACCAAAAATTGAATCTTTTAATAAAAAAACACACTTAAGAATTGTATGTATATATTTTGTGTCATTAGTAAGTTTTGTATGCTTCTTCAGGTAAGCGGCATTTGTTTATAGTTCTATATATATATATATAGAACTTGTTTATAGTTATATATATATATATATATATATCAGCATGTAACACTCAGGTTTACCTGAGTGCATAAGAATGACTATATAATTTAACATCTAGACTGGCCACTTTTGAGAATTAGAGATCATAATTAATACATGTGCAATAAGCATAAACCGTGACTGTCCTAGGAAAAGTAGAATGTATAGTCATCCTAATCTTTGTTGACTTATTCAACATTTGTTAAATTAGAATCAATCATTGCTGATTGTAAAATTGTCCAACTATCCGATACTGTTTACAATTTACAGATTACACTGAATGAAATTATTTCTAAAGTAGTAATCAATCACTGAAAAATCATCATAAGTTGCAGAATTCTATTTAATTACTGATTTTTTTTAAGATGGGATCTCACTCTATCACCCAGGATGGAATGCAGTGATATGATCTCAGCTCACTGCAGTCTCTATCTCCTCAGGCCCAAAGGATCCTCCCATCTCAGCCTCCCTAGCAGTTGGGAACACAGGCAAGGGCCACCACTCCCTTCTAATTTTTTTGTATTTTTGGTAGAGACAAGGTTTTGCCATATTGCCCAGGCTGGTCTCAAACTCCCTAACTCAAGTGATCCATCCACCTCGGCCTCCTGAAGTGCTAGGATTACAGGTGTGAGCCACCACACCTGGCCACAATATACAGACTACATTGAATGAAATTATTTCTAAAGTAGTAATCACTGAAAAATCATAATAAGTTGCAGAATTCTATTTACTGATTTCTTATATGTGAGTATAATTTGTTTAAAAGTTATTAATATTTCTGCAAATATTCATTTATTACCTTCCTTTTTAAAGCTGTAAGGATAAAGTTGAATGAAAAATGGTTGTTGGTCCAGTTTTAATCATTTCAGTATTGAAAATATGATGGAGAGCAAAAAAATTAGCCTTGCCTCTAATTCCTTCCTGATGGTAAAATATGAAGTATGATGGCTTTCTACATGGGGTGAAGGAGGCATGTTGTTAGAACCTGTAGATAAAAAGCCCCACATTTGTACTTTAATAATATAATTAAATTTAAACACTCTATTCAAAAGTATGAAGACACACATCAAGATTTTTTTATTTCTATTGAGATAAAGAATGGAGGAATTAGTAAGGGAAACAAGTACCTTCTAGGATAGATTTATATACAATTAATCACCTAATAAATGTATAGAACTAGTGACTAATTGCTACAATTGTACAGCATTTACCTACCATCATACTCTCTCTCTCTCTATATATATATACATATACAGATACACGTATATTTAACATACCTTTTTATTACCTCTCCAAAATGGAAGATCACTAGGTGTTTAAAACAATAGTTTTATCTGCTTGGAATACATACACATACACCCACACACACATATATATATGTGTATATATACGTACATATACATACATATGTGTGTGTGTATATATATGGAGAGAATGATGCCCTTGAACATATTAACTTAATAAAATATATCTTGACATTGATTCTGTTAAGAAATAATCAAATAATTTTTGATACAATTTTCATGATATCAAAATAATATGTATTTTTATGTTCAGATATTTAACAAATGTTCAGACATCCCCGACAGAATAGACCATGATTCAATTTATTAATACTGCTAATTAGAGGTTTAATGATAAAAATACCCTGCAGCAGAATGAATTCGAAGCATTTGAACAATGGCAGTTACACCATCTGCTCCAGATAGAAATTTGCTATCTTGACAGTAACAAAGAACAAATAGACAATGAAGATACATCAAGCTGGCAAGAGGGTAAATTCAACAAGGAAAGAAGTGTTTTTTAGACAAATTGCTTTTCCTGTTAAATACTACATTATATCCTAAATAATACTTCACTCAACTACAGGCAGATGTTTATGTCAAAGAGAATCATAGTCTTTCTCACAAAAAGTGTTTTATATTACTAGAAAATCTAAATAATCATACTTTTCCATCCTCAAAGTTCCAAATAAAATTAAAGTATGCTAGCAGGAGAAAGAAGCAAAAATAATAACAAGGGAAACAAAATAGCAGGTTTCCTTTAGAAAAAATTCTGAGAAAAAGACATTATGCTGACAGATTCTCACCTACCCACATGGACCTCTAAGATGAGCCCCAAGACTGTATTAGTTTAAGAAATTAAGTTTAAAAAATCAATTTAAAAGACTTCCTTCTCACATCCTGTTATCATTGGGATATTTGTGTGTATTGGTAAGAGATGAAGGTATATGAAAATAGAACTCATTCTGCATTAAAATCATAAAGAGAAAATAATAAAACTCTATCATTATAGACATTCATTTGCAAGGTTATTAGATAATGTGGACACTCTACCTTGACACGTTTCTATGAAAGAAGGTATTTATTTTTATTTCAAAAGGAGGTCAGTTTCTGAAACATGAAGGCAAGGAGGTTTATATAAAGGCATGGGCCAATCTTCTACTCCCATTCCATATCACCCACGTTCTTGATATTCATATTCCTTTTATTCTTGGTTCAGTAGCATTGGGTTCAATAGCATTGACAAAGATTATAGTGGAAAGAATTATAATTTTTAAAATATATACCAAAATATGGTAAGGAGAAGTCATTATATTTATCCTTGCCAAATGTCAGGAAAGATGTGTCATTTATTTTACTGGGTTTTACATATCAATCAATAAGTATTTATTAAGTTATATGGTTTTTGTTTGACACATTTTTGTCTCAATTGTCTGGAAATAGTAAGATTGTAAATGAAATGCAAATTGTGTACATTCTTTTGCTATCTTGACCTAATGATCAGAACATAAATATGACCTTGGGTTAATGAGGGTCATGTCTTTTCTGTGAGAGGATCCCCTAAATTTATTTCCTAGGAAGGCAAGTTTACCATCCATAATTTTAACATAAGAATAGTATGAGGTGAGGTCTTCCTTAAAATTAATTGTTTTTCACTTAACTTATCATGGATTCATCTGTCACAAACTAATCTTTTCTAAATTTTTAATGAGTTTCAGTCTGTATTTTATCACGTAAAACAGTGCCTTGTTTTATACGGTGCTAAAACTATGACATTCAATCTTCTAAAGCTTTCCTCCAGTTTTGGTTACAAAAACTGATGGCTGACTTCATAGATAACTTACATTAATTTATCCAGCAATAGTTATTTATTTAGCTTCTACCTTATGAAAGGCACTGGGATAGGTGCTGCAGTAAATACTAAGATTTATGAGAAGATAGACCCTGCTTTCAAAGTTTACCAATTAGCTAATAAGGTAACAAGGTGAATGAACAGAATAAATGAGAAACTGATCATTGTCAAATTATGTGGTAGAGAGAGATTAGTGAGGACTTGAGTATTTGAAGGTATCATGATGGAAAAAAAAGGGGTCAGGAATGAGTCTTGAATACAGTTCTAACTTGTAAGAAAGAACTGGAAAGGGAATTCTATCTCAGCACTAGGTCTAAGCTGATTGCTTATATACAGAGAATGAAGAGGCTGGGGAAGCCTAGCTTGTCAGGAAGCTAGTAGACATGTGGGGCAAATACATGGGTGCCATCATCTGCAAGACAATTATATCTCATTTTCATCACATTAAAAGGAGAAAACCACTTATCTCTCTGTCTTACTAACACTTAATGAGCAAATTGCCCAGAAATTTAAATGGATTTAGCTTGTCATGTAATCATCATGACAATCTTAGATCATTCCAGTAGTCTCAACCTTATTTTATGGACTAGGGCACTGAGTCTAAGAGGGGTTAATGTAAATTGCTAAAAGCTTCACAGCTAGTAATGATGATAATAATGTAATAGCGAGGATAATATTTACTGAATATCTTCTATTAATCTGTTATGGACATAGTCACATTTTTTCTGGTAATAGCAGTTACTAAGCTGCCTGGATCTGTCTCTCCACTCTCTCACTGTTTTTCAGGCAGGTCATTGGATCCAGGAGATATGTACCCAGCTGCATGCAGGAGTAGTCCACGGTGTGACGCTCCCAGCTTGAGAGGGATTTGCTTTTGCACCGCTTGATGCCCAGTTGGTCAAGGTGGAGCCCAATGGGTCACTTGGCAGTGCTGTAGACAGCAGAGCTGGGGTTGGAGCCCCATGCTCTGTGTAGAAGAACAAGCTTAAGGGAGGGAGTGGGTAGATGACCAGAGACATCTCAGAACCCATTGCTTCATTCACTCAACGTGGTGACTGACAACATAGGTCAACTTTCAGTGAAGAAAATGTGAGTTTAGAATCAGGCAGATGTGGGTTCAGAATCCCAGCACTGTCACTGACTAGCTGTGGGACTTTGGTAAACTCACTCAAGCTCCTGTAGCCTCTGTTTTCACATATATTAAATGGAATCAGTGATAGCTACTTCATTGGCTGCTGTGAGAATTGCAAAGAGTCTAGTAGTCTAGTACACAACCTGACATTAGTTGTTAAATATTTATAATTAATAGCTATTGTCATAACTAAACATCTCCATACTCGCCAATACCTATTCATATTTGTTTTCAAATTATCATTTGTGGGGATCTGGTAAAAACATTTTAGAAATTTTTTTCCGTTAATAATTCTACAATTTTCTATTCTTCTTATAATTTCCCCTTATAAAAGAAAAGTTGCTTTAGATCCAATTATTTTACATTGGCATATATGTTGAATGACTATTTAAAATTGACTAGTATTTCCTGACAAAAAATTTGTAGATCACTATCCTTGAATTTTTTGAAGGAAAATGACACATCTTTCCTGTGCCTCTGGAAGGAACTTACATTCTCCCAAATGTAAAAACGAGGAAACTATCAATTTGATGCACCTATGATTTTTTCTCTTGATTATGACTGAAAATCTTCCACCTCAAGCAGACATTGGCAAATAATCATTACCTTTTTCTTCATTTTTTGCTTCATTAAGTCAGCAAACACTCATAGATAAAATTTTATGAACCAAGCATACTCTAAATGAATAGTGTTCCCAACAAAACAAGTGCCTTTCTCTATACCCCCTTGACTTTTGTTCTAACCTGGTATGCTGCCTTACCAATGATACTGTTTAGGTGCTCAGCCATCCTTGAATTCTAGAAATAGTCTGGCCCCTAGTGCACAAAACTGGATTAATTATAGCCCTTGGTGTATGAATCACCATTGTCATCTCCACTCGTGGCTCGGTTGATATACTTATTTAATTAAATATTAAACCAAAATGTCATATACATATTGTGAATATTCAATTTTAAGAGATAATGCAACTTTTTCCAAGTAATTTTACAAATTTATAGTTCTGCTAGCAATGTGTAAGAGATCCAGTTGGTTCACATTCCCACAAATGCTTGGTTCTTTCAAATTTTTAAAATTTTGTCAATACAATAGGTATAAAAAATTCCATTACTTTCTTGCCTGTCCTCCCTGTATGAGGAAGTTTCATCTCCAAGGTTGAGGATTGGAACTTTTCTCAGACTTTCAAAGTAGAATGGAACCAAATACCAGAAACTTCTCTGCAAAATGAGAACTACAAGTGATATCCTAGTCCCTTATTGGCTAATGGCTTTTGAAAAATGAAGATGAAGAAAACAATTTAAAAGTAAGCATTACCCACTTTAGGAGTAGGGGGAAAAGTATACTTCAGATATTAACATGCACAGGCTTTTCTGTGACTCATAAAAGGACATATTTTCTTGCCTAAAATTCTAGAATAATAGAAAATTGAGGGGAAAGATATGAATTCGCCCATGTTTCTGTTTTTCCAATGGAGACCCATTTCCAAACTGTTGGGTAATCAGAGTATAGATACTCTCTTAAATATGCAGATTATTTCACAGATTTAAATATAAAAAGATGAAAAATAACATGTGACTAATTGTTTACTAATTGTGGGTTTTAATAGTTTACATTGGACAATTCACTTATGAAGTTGTGGTTACATCTAATTCATCATTCTGAAAAATACATGTTCATTATTCCACAATTTTGAAAAGCAGTTGTAGTAGGCAAAATCATTGTTTTATATGTAAGTATGACCAATAGCCTTAATCCTAAATATTTATATTGCTCTCAATGTGCATACACATCAAAATGTAACTTTGTAGCAGACATATTTCACCTACAAGAAATTCAACCAAAGTTTTTACTCTATTGGTGGCTGTTATTCTATCCCTACCTTTGGTGATGTGCTACTGCTCTAATTATGCCAAACTTTATCTCAATAAAATTATGTACTTGCCAAGTACTAGTTGCAACAAATACTGTTACACTTTTTTTGTTTATTTGGAGACTGAAATTTAAGAGGAGCATGTCTAAACAAACAACAGTTCCTTAATATTAGGGTATCAGTCAGGCACAATGGCTCACGCCTCTGATCCCAGCACTTTAGGAGGCTGAGGTAGGCAGATCACCTGAGGTCAGGAGTCAGAGACCAGCCTGGACAACATGGCAAAGCCTTGTCTCTACTAAAAATAAAAAAAATCAGCCTGGCATGGTGGCATATGCCTGTAGTCCCAGCTACTTAGGAGTCTGAGGCACGAGAATCACTTGAACCTGGGCAGCAGAGGTTGCAGTGAGCCAAGATCGTACCACTGCACTCCAGCCTGGGTGACAGAGCAAGACTCCATCTCAATTAAAAATATATATACAGATACATAGATAGATAAACATAAAAGACTCCTGCCTTTGTTAGACATAAAATAAATACTGTTTGAATACTGCTTTTAAAAAGAGAGTAAATTCACATTATTTAAACGCTTACATCAAATTTTAGATATACCAAACGTTCGAGAAATATTTCTGCTGAAAAGATTACTAGCCACATAAAATCTTGATATTATAGTTCATGTCGAATTGACTCAGACTAGTGAACTAAAATTGTTTTCAGGATTCACTAGGCATTCCAGTTTTGACCTTCATTCTTAAAGGCTGTGAGGGTGAGCTAGTGTGCACTGCACTCTTTAGAAAGCAGATTTATAAGCTTTACTTTCCAATTCTGTGATCTAATGATAAGTTACTCTATTATGGTCAACACAGATTTTTTTTTCTCAAGATAACTATTAGACAGAAAACCAAAATGTCTGTTTTTTGTTTGCTTTTACTGTATCCTTGTCAAAAAATTACTTGATCAAACAGCAAATATTTATGGAGCACCTACCATGTACAAGGGCCTGCATGGGGCATAAAAAGAAGACTATGCAATGAGATGAAAGAGATAATGATGGAAAATGATTATACAAATCAACCCAGTTGATAAGTGCATTTCTTTAAGGATCTTCTGTTGAAATGCAGGCATCATTAATTCCTCACCACTTTGTATACATATAAACCTTATTTCTTAGAGCACACTATTTTTTTTCTTTATCTTATGTTAATTGATCTTATCTCACCAATAAGATTTAAAATGAAGATCACAGATATTGGCCAATGCTTTTCTGCAACCCCAGTAATTTCTGGCATATTGCTTATCACATAACAGTTCTCCATAATTACCTTAGTTAATCTAATATTTAAGAATATATTTTCCAGATATCTTAGTCCACTCATTCTTTATTATAACCTTCATAGCACAAGCATAAGAAGGGAAAAAAGATGAAATTAATTTATCAACATCAACTACTCATTCTGGACTCTTCTATCAGTCAGATGTTTACAGCTAATTATGTGAAAACTTAGAAATAATTTAGGGTAATGAGCAATATCTTTTCCTTGTGACAGGAGTATTTTGACGTGTTCATTGCAGTGTTTTGCCTTTTTAAACTAGGCTACATCCTTTTGGGTTCTAATGCACACTTAATGAATTACCTATTAATATGAAGAGTCAAAAATCATAATCTTGGATTTATGTAATTTTCCCAAAAAATAAACTTAGAACTTTATGTTCTCTGGGCCATGATATCATAATGTTTGATTAAGTCAGAGACACTGGATCAGTACTCTGCCAACTACTAGTCCTCAAATTGCCTCTGACTTTCCACTGAAGTCTTTAAAGAGCCTTGCTATCCTTCTTTTCCTCTAATCAAGTGAACATCTCTTCTCACAACTATAACTCTGCCATAAGGAACTTAAATCAGTGAATTATGGAACATGAATAAAAATTATTTTTAAATGACAGAATTCAATGAATTCAGTAGAAACTGGATACAATCATATGAATTTTATTTGCTTTAGTGCCCCCCTTTGGGAATATAAATCAATTCCCTAAACCTATGAATATTGAGAAGAGATGAACTCAAGTCAACTTTTCCTAAAAGGTTGTCTAGATAGTAGGGAGAACATTAAATAGATTGTCAGCTGTGTATATATATATATATATATATACACATACAGCTTTCCCTTCCTTCCTTCCTTCCTTCCTTCCTTCCTTCCTTCCTTCCTTCCTTCCTTCCTTCCTTCCTTCCTTCCTTCCTTCCTTCCTTCCTTCCTCTCTCTCTCTCTCTCTCTCTCTCTCTCTCTTTCTTTCTTTCTTTCTTTCTTTCTTTCTTTCTTTCTTTCTTTCTTTCTATCGTGCCTGACAGAGTCTCACTCTGTTGCCCAGGATAGAGCACAGTGGCCCAGTGACAACCCACTGCAGCCTCAACCTCCTGGGCTCAAGCAATCCTCCCACTGCAGCCACCTGAGTAGTTGGTACTATAGACATGTGCCACCATGTCTGGCTAATTTTTTATTTTTTATTTTTTTGCAGAGATGGAGTTTTGCAATGTTGCCTAGGCTGGCCAGTCCCATATTTCTAAGCACTTAATAGTAAGTTTCTCTTTGGAAGAACTACTGTAAATACCAAAACCACCAAATCAGCATCTGCCTCTTACCATCTCCTTGGTTATCTCATTTTTGATTCGAAAACACACTTAATGCATTGCCTATTAATATGAAGAATCAAAAATAATGATCTTAGATTTATATAACATTCCCCCAGAGTGAACTTAGAACTTTATGTTATCTGGTGCGTGATATAGTAACATTTAATGAAGATAGTGCTGCTGAATGTTGCTGTCACCTTACCTATTCCAGCTGATCTCCTTTTACTGAGTATAACCCAATAAGGCCACAGACCATCAGCCCTGCCTCATTCAACACTCATTGGTTTCTAAGCTTTTCATGAA